CCCCTTTTTTCCAACCACTGATAAAATAAGATTCCATGTTTGATAATATTCTGTGTCTTCTTTCTGTTTAATTTTCAGTGTCAATCTATCCATTTCTGCACAGTAACAGTTCACTTAGTGACTGTTCAAAGTTACAACAGCACTTAAAAAACAGTGACTTACTACTGTTTTTCACACTTATGACCATTGCAGCATCCCTGATGGTCATGTAATAAAAATTCAGATGCTTGGCAACTGATTCATTATTACGACCATTGTGGTATCCCGGGATCATGTGATGACGTTTTGTGACCTTCTGACAAGCAAATTCAATGAGGAAGTCAGATTGTTAAGTGTTACTAACTTAACAACTCCAGTGATTCACTTAACAAATGTGGTGAGAAAGGTCATAAAATGGAATTAAACTCACTTGTTTCATTTAGCAACAGAAATTTTGGGCTCAGTTCTGGTCATGAGTTGAGGACTACCTGCGATAGGCTCCCTGTGTAGATGTTAGGGGACACAGTGGCTCAGTGGCTAAGACGCTGAGCTTGTCGATCAGAAAGGCTGGCAGTTCAGCGGTTCGAATCCTTAGTGCCACATAAAGGAGTGGGCTCTCGTTACTTGTCCCAGCTTCTGCCAACCTAGCAGTTCGAAAGCACACAAAAAATGCAAGTAGAAAAATAGGGGCCACCTTTGGTGGGAAGGTAACAGTATTCCATGCGTCTTCGGCATTTAGTCATGCCAGCCATATGACCGTCTTCGGATACTGCTGGCTCTTTGGCTTTGTAACGGAAATGAGCACTGCGCCCTAGAGCCGGAAACAACTAGCACATATGTGGCGAGGAGAACTTTTATCTTTATGTAGATGTTGGTGGTGGAACTGATCCTCATTGAATACATAGCTATTTCACTGTTCATGAGGTGCCTTAACCTTCTATCTGAAATCGTTGGGTGAGGTCATTCATTGGGACAAAAAAAATGCCATCTCTTGATGATATCAGTGAGATATGATGGTCCTTGCCAGTCAAGGAATCCTGTTTTGATTTCTGTGGGATGGGGAGGAACAGGTTTGACTATACCCAAGTAAAACTGGGAGCTTGTGGATTTGGGGCTCTCAAGGACCCAGATCTGAAGAGGATGTATCTTTGGTTCTGGGTGGAGCTGCTCAGAAACCTGTGGACAATTTGAGTTTCCTCCTGAACATGGTTCTTGCTTGAGTAGGAGGTAGATATATCTAGGAGTGCCTTCAGTTCTGACTGAATGGTGGGGAATGGGAGGATTTATATTCCTTGCAGTCATCTGGTCATTAACATTCTTTCTGGGTGGTTAAGGTTTATCTGTGCCTTCCTTCCATTTTCCACCATTCAGTCAGAACTGAAGAAGCTTCTAGAATGAGAAGTGAAATGCCTTCAAGGAAAAACAAAGAAAATCCCATTGAAAAAGCACCTTTAGAAATTCAATCCCTTTTTTGCACCAGTGAAGGGTTTTAAGTATTGGACATACATAATTTCTCTGCTTGTTTCTAACTTCAGAGGAAAGATCCCCCTCATTGCACCAATCATGACTCACTCTGTTTCCAACTATCCGCCTGTTCCTTAAGTAGCTCATGTCTTTTCTTTACTCCTACATAGCCTGGCAACAAGACAAGGAGCCGAAATTCCCTGCGTGCACAAGAAGCAGAAAATCCAGCTGGAGGTTTCTTTCATCCTCCTTTTAGGAATCATATCTTTACTACAGCCAAGGTGTCAAACACTGAAAATAATCATTCAAGAACTGACAGGAAAAAAAGCTATAATAAATAGTGAGACATTCTGCTCTGCGGTTTGGAAGGAGTTTAAAAATCTACAGTACGTTCATCTTGGTGTATAATTGGCTTTTTTTTGTTGTTTTCTTATGGGGGTCTGAGTTATGTGTTCTAAACAGTGGTAGGATTCAAAATTTTTTACTACTGGTTCTGTGGGCGTGGCTTGGTGTGCGTGGTGTGGCTTGGTGGGTGTGGCTTGGTAGGCGTGGCAGGGGAAGGATATTGTAAAATCTCCATTCCCTCCTCACCTCACTAACCTGATTTCCAGCTCCGAACTCCTATGCAGGCAATAAAAGAAGACCCAGCCGATCCACTGGGACTCGGGAAGCAGAGAATAGATGGGAGCAGGGCCAGTCAGAGGTAGTATTTGCCAGTTCTCCAAACTACTCAATATTTCCACTACCGATTCTCCAGAACTTGCTGCATACCACCTCTAGTTCTTAAGGTAGAGAGCTTGTATTGTATAGTACAGGCAGGGGTGAACTTATGACTGCACCCAGTTTTATGACCTGCATGTGAAAAAAAAATCTGGTAATGGAGCATCAGATGAACATGATCCAGAGCAGTGATGTAGCAGCAAAAAAGGTGCATACAATCCTGGATGATATTAAAAATGCTTTCCACTGATTTATGCTAATGGTTCCTGTACTGTACTTTTTGCTGGCTAGGTTGCACTTGAAAATATGGAGTCCAGTTTGGGTAATGCAATTTCAAAAGGATGTGGTGAAACTGGAACACAACCATAGGACAGCAACTACAGCATTTAAAACCAAGCCTGTGAGGAACAGTTAAAGAAACAACTGATATTGGGTGTGCAAATAAAGGGAGATGCAATAATGTTTTGACAAATTTTTTTTTTCAAAAAGTGGTATAATATCATGCTATTCAAATGTTAACGTAGAATGTCTTATAGTAGTGTTTCTTCAAGTGTGGTCCGAGGGTTCATGTACTATTACACAAGGTGACTCTTCTCATTATTTTTAAATTAAAAAATAAAGATTTTTAATGAAAAATATTTTAGGTTAGGATCTAATGGGATCAATGTTGTTATTTTAACATTATTCAATAATATTTTACGAATGTTAATAAATATTGATAAGTATAACCTCCACAAACAAAAGTTCTTTTGTGGTCCTCCCTATTATTAAAGGTGGAAAGGGGTCCTGAGAAACACTGAACTAACCATGAAGTCTGCACAATATGTTAGGCTAGAGCAGTATAGTTGGCAAGTTTAAGATGAATGGACTTCCCCTCCACTGGAATTCTGGGAGTTGAGGTCCACACATAATGTTGCCAAGTTTGAGAAACACTGTACTGGACTAAAATGTGGGTCTGTTTGTTGGGACAGCCCATTGTAATGTTTTTTATGTATTAATTGTTATTTAGCATATGGCATGTTGTTTTGGGGGATGGTGCTTTGTATCTGTCAGTGTGCTTACCCATGGATTGACCTGGTTTGTTAAGCAAGGATGACAGCAATTGATGGGAAGCAAATGTTTTGCCATTCTGCTCAAGATCCATTAAGTCAAGATCCTGATACCAAGTGACTTAGGAATGTTATTGATCAGGTAAAGGTATTTACCTACTTTGTAATCTTTGATTGAACTATGTTACTATGACTACTGAAATATATGCATGATGTTGCTTTTTATTATTGGTATACAGGCTGTTGGAAGAAAAATCCATCTCATTCAGTTCAAAGTTGGGAGAAAGATGCTGCAAACAAAATGGAGGCTGGAAGGTCCATTCATTTATGAACAGAACCACCAGGGTTTGTGGTTCTGGTTAGCTGACCCAGGATGGCTGTTGGTTCTGTTCCTCATTAAACTTTCTTTCCAATCAGCCTCCATGTTGTTTCCAGTGTAGGAAGTTAGCACCCACCCCTCTCCTAGAAAAATGAAATATCCTGGGAAATATTAAATCTCCCAAACACCATTAAAACTTCCAAGCAGCCTCCATGTTTCCAGTGTCTTTTTCCCCACTTGGAAATGAACCCAGAAGGATATTTCTTCTAACACCAGCATTTTCCTTCCAACAAGGGGAAGAAAAAGAAACATAAATATGCAAGGTATAATATTCCTATCATCCCCCTGGGAAGGGTGAACTCTCCAGTCCCATTTTCCAACATCAAAATGCACAGTGAATTATCTACAGCAGCTATAAGCGTGTCTATTCATCTATTTTAAAAGTATAATCTTCATGTGAAAATTTCATGTTAAAATTTTATGTCTTCGTAGGCTATATGATCTGAATTATTAAAACAATTGGTAGCCACATTTGGCAGCTTTATCAATCCGCCCCCTTTTTTGCTTGGTTTACAGTATTTCACTTTCTCCAAACATAACAGCAAAAGAAACCAAGAATTTATTTCTTTGTGCAGTCGTGTTGTGACTCTCACCTTTTGCTATCTCTAGAGTTGTAATTTTTGTCTCCTTGCACATCAAGGACTGAGAGGCTTTTCTGTAAGGAAGGTAGACGCTGGACTACATGGTAACCAGCCACAGTCAATCACACCCTGCACTGAGTATTGAGTACTGTAATGACAATTAGGTTATCTGATCAGTACTTAGAAAAGCTGGTTTCCATGGAAAGCAGGAATAATTACAGTGTAGCCTGAAGCAGGATTTTTAACAAAGATCTTCCGGGAATTAGATTGTGCTAGGACAAAAGCAGTCTTTTAGGGCTTTCACAGAATATGCATTAACACATAAGAATTATTCAGAATTAGAATTAACTTCCAATGATGGAGCAGTTATAACACGAGAAGCTGTGGAATTCTGGGAGTTATAGTTCACACAGCTGAAAATTGCTGAGGTTAAGAAACTCAAGTCTTAAGCAGAGGTCTTCAAACTTAGCAACTTTAAGACTTGTGGACTTCAACTCCCAGAATTCCTGAGCTAACATGACTGAAGGAGGAATTCTGGGAGTCGAAGTCCACAAGTCTTAAAAGTTTCCAAGTTTGGAGACCCCTGGTATTAAGGAATAATTTCCTGATTGTAAGAACGATTTTTTTCAAACTTGGATCTCTTTCTGTAAAGCTTCTACCCATTGGTTCTTGTCTCCCTTCCGGAGAACCGAATTACATTTGGAAATACGATGCTAAAAAATATCCCTAAAGCGGCCCACCGGTTTATGCACAAAGGAGCCATTCCGCAAACTCCGTCCCGTTTTTTTCCGCCTTCCCGTGTGTGTATTGAAGGCGGAGGTGGGCAGAGGTGACGTCACCCACCCTCCAGTCTTTCTCTGTCAAAGTTTATAAGTTCTGTTGTTAAGAAATGGCCACTCGCCTGTTTGAGGATAAAGATCACGCTGCTTTCTATAAGAAATACAGGCTCTCGCTTCAGGAGAATTTGCGAGCCGTGATCGTCGCGTTCCTAGAGAAAAAGGTAAAGATGGGAGAGCGGATTGCGTTGGGACTTTTAGAGATGCAGTCCCAGGTTGAAAATGGTCCACTGAATCCACCACAGATGCCCGTGATGTCGAGATGGCCATGCCCCGCCACCCCCCCAGGTCAAACACAACCCTGATGCAGCTCTCAATGAAATCAAGTTTGACACCCCTGTACTATGGGATCTTTTCCTGAATTTAGTTCAAGGTTAGTAACTCATGATTATAAGCTCTTGATAGCCTCCCTTCTATATCCCTCAGCCAGCCCAGCCCTACAAAATTTCTGCTTTTTAGTCAGTTCCATACTCACAGATGACTGCCTAACATTTTTATTTTCTGAAAATACCTCTGAGGTCATAATACCTCAAGTGTCTTTAGAAACAAAAAGGCACCAGAGATCAGTTATTTTATCTTTCAGACAGGGAACTCAGGCAAGCTCTGCATTTCCATGACATCAAGGTAATTCCTCAGTGGCAAGAAGATGTATATAAATTAGGTGGTAACAATTAGTTTAGGACCTGTTGTTGAAAACTAAAAACTCTTTTGTAAAACATTGAAGAAGATAGTGCTGTAAATCACTCTCTGCCTTTGAGATTTATTGCTATTTTTCCTCCAAAGGTGAAGTGCTTCCAGCTGGGAGTGGATGTGGGATGCGGCTCAGGTCAAAATACTGTCCTGTTGGCCAAGTATTTTGAAAACGTGGTTGGAACAGATGTAAGTGAAGCTCAGATTGAGGAAGCTAAGCGAGCAGCACACCCTCTCAATGTCTCATATCTGTAAGTAAATGTTCAGGATATTTGGACAATTTTGGCTTGTAACATGTCCACAAAATGGTCTACAGAAAATCTTTGCCCATCTTGCATGAAATAAGCTCACTAATGATTAGCAAAGATTTTTCTGGCACATAATTAGAATCTAAGGAGCCAACTTTTGGTAAGCAAGTTGAAACAGAGAGCAAAAGCTTTTTGGGGTGGGGGTGGGGAATGCAGCCACACTTTCACCAGGAGATGGTATAGAAGGCAAATGCAATTGTTTGTTGTCAGCAAAGGAGTACTAAGTACTGTCATTGCTTTGCTATTCTCATAGTGCACGTCCTGCAGAGGAGTTGCCTTTTGAGGATAACTCTGTAGATCTCATCACAGCCTTTAGCGCTGTGCACTGGTTTGATGTCCCCCGCTTCATAAAGGAAATGGACCGGATTCTCAAACCATCTGGCTGCTTTATCTTGTGTTCCAACACCCTCGATATGGAGTGGCACTATGGAGATCAGTCTGAGAAGCTAACAGAGATCTTCAAGGAGGTAAGCACTGTGCAAGCACCCAGGTGAATGATAGCACCTATTGCTGCATGCATACAGGTGGTCCTTAAATCAGTCATTTTTGCAATCATTCAAGATTACAAGTTTAATGAAGAAAGTGACTTAAAACCTGTCCTTGCATTTACAACAGTTGCAGGATCCCCAAAGTCAAGTGATCAGAATTTGGTTGCTAAGCAACCAGCATGCATTTACAACAGTTGCAGCATCCCAGTGTATTGTGTTAGCCATTTGCAACCTACCCAACCAACTTCTAACAAGCAAAATCAGTAGGGAAGCGAGATTCACTTAACTGTGTTATTAACTTAACTGCAGTGAGTCACCTGACCACCATAGCAAGAAAGAGTAAAATGGGGGGAAACTCTCTTAACAACTGCCATGTTTAGCAACAGAACTGTTGCACTCAGTTGTGATCAGAAGTCAAGGACTATCCGTAGAGTACATCAAGAACTCTTCAATTATTTATCAATGGTTTGAATCTGCTTAACCCTATAGTTACATGATCTCTGCAAACCCTGCAGGAATCTTAGATGGCAACGGTGCTGTCCCAGCCAGTCTATGGGAATTGGATAGTTACTTAGGAATTATGAGCTGTCCCCTTAAGGGAATGCATCATGGTAAATGTAGTGAAAAGGTATCCTGGGAAATGTAGTTCATATCACGTGGCCACATCTGTAATCCTGATTGGTCACTAAATTGACCCTCCATGGGTTGGGGGAGTTTTCCTCACTTTTGCCTGAACTCTCTAACTCATGGCAGCTGCTTTCTATCACTACAAGATGGGTTAGGGGATAACCATCTTTTACTACAAGGCAGATATGCAAAGGATTGGTCATTAAAGAAGAACTTCATCACAAATGTGTTATGAAGATACCTGATGAACCAATAAATGTATTTTGTTATGGACATCTTGTTGAGTTTATCTATCTGCATCTGCACAGCTTAAAAATCCACTATTGTGCAGGAGACAGAAAAGCAACAGACAGGTAACACCAAAGTCTTTGCTGCCACCTAATGGTGGCTTGGATCTTGCAACCCAGATATGGTTGTCTTTGCCTTCAGTATCCAGCAAGGCATCTGCATCATTTGAGAATGAGATCCACTGCATGCACTCTTTCCTTTTATCTGTTCGACAACCGCCAGTTTCATTTACAATTTTGTAATTAAGGAGAAAAAGTGCACATAGGGAAAATTCATGAAGAAAAAGACTTTGATGCTATTGCTTTGACTTAGAGGATAAAGGGAGTCCGCAAAGCTCAACAGTGTCTCTACTATGAAATCATGTCTTTCTCCTTTTTCTTTTATGCAGGTTCAAGCCCAACTTCTTCCTTATACACATGAAAGGGTCAAATATGTTTCGGATGACTATAAAGCAATATTTGATGCTCTGCCCTTCGAGGATAAGGAAAGGTGAGTGGTAGATATATAAGTTTCTATGAATCTGAGGTTAGCCGACTGTGGGGTTCAGCCGATGTACAAAATTACAAGAATGAATGAAATTGGTGGTGATTTTATCAATGCCGTTACAACTGACAACGCTACATCTAAAAGGGGAAATCGTTTCTATTCAATGGGACATTGTTCTAAATAGACAACTTGCATTCTTTTCCCCAAGCACTAGCCGCAGCTGCCCTTCCTTTGCTAACCTCAGTAAACCTAGGATTATTCTAGACCAGAGGTCTTCAACTTTGCCAACTTTAAGACTTGTGGACTTCAATTCCCAGAAATCAGCCAGCTGCTGGCTGAGGAATTCTGGGAATTGAAGTCCACAAGTTGCTGAGGCTGAAGTAGACTGCAGAACCCAGGGGATAAAGTTTATGATTCCACCCTAAATAATTTTTTTTTTTTTACAGAATCACAGATATTGTAGATAAAGTTCCCAAAAGTGTCTCTGAATTACTGGGATATCTCCAGTCCTTTTCTATGTACCACTGTTTGCTAAAAGCCCAGCCTGAGGCAGCCAAATCTCTCATTCAGAATACTGAACAAAGGTAATATGATGACAAATAATTCAACAGAGAAAGTCTGATTCGATAAGATAAAAGAAAGGATTTTTTTTCCTAATATTATTGATTTATACTAAAATAGCAACCTTCAAAATAGTCAGCAAAAAAATAATTCAGTAATATAGGCAGATAAAGCTAGTGGTATACTCTGAATTAGTAAATCCATTCCAACCCTGCTCCGTCCAAGTGTGTTGCGTCTGTCAAAATTCCCAGAAACAAAACAGCCCCAACATATTTAGAATGCCAAGTTAGAGAAGACTGAGGACATCCAAATGTTAAAGTGAAATAGCTGTATAGGTTTTCTATAAAAGGGAGTTCTAGGGTTTGCAAGGTGGAATTAAGTTGCTTTATGGTGAGGTGGACAGCAAACAAGTTTAGTAATGAATAAAATTAATATGCTTAAATTATTCTCTTAGTGCAAAATGTTAGGAAGATGTGGGTTGAAACCTGACTGCCAGCTTCACTGGGTTAACTAGCTAGGACTTACAGCCAGATGAGCTAATTCTATTTTATTGTAAAGCTACATTGATAGTCTCTTGCAAGTCTAAAAGTACAATTCTCCCGCTGTCTCCTTTGCAGCCCAAGAAACTAGGGAGGGTGCCTTACTAGCTTCTTGCCCTGAGCACTACGCAGCTGCAGGCAATGCTGCTTCTTATCTGATTCTTCTCAGTGTCTCTTAGTCCAGTCTTTCTGTTTTTTAGTTGAAAAAATGTTTAGTCAAAAACCTGTACTGGCAAAAATAATTACTTATTGGGGAATAGATACGCTCCCTAAGTGTTTAACTAGCTAGCTATTGACTGGCATACATGTTCATTCTGATATAATTATGGATTATATATTGCACTGGACTTTGTGACTGATTTTTAAATTTCCCCTTTGTAGAATTCTGGAGACAATGGGAGTTTCTTCACCTGAAACCATGCTGGAGATTTGGACTCGACAAGTTTGCATTCTGGGTAGCAAGAGCTGTAAAAAGTAATTTTGGCCTGCTTGGGGGGTGTTCCAGCAGGATAAAAAACCAACCTATTTCAGTGCCAAGCTTTAGTACAATGATTACTACTTTTGAACAGCTTTCCCACAAAAGCAATGCCCTATTTATTTCTGAGAGGAATGGAAAGCAAATGTAAAGTTAAGTAAACATTAAAAAATGAAAGAGCAGAAGGTGAGGTAAAAGGAACATTGGACTTTAAAGAGCTATTCAGATTTCTACCCATAACACTCACAAGAGTTACCTTGAGCTAATTATTGACTAGGTTTAATTTACTAATTAAACTAGACTGGGAGTTGATTTCCATGCCTTTTAAAGTTGCTCTAAGATTGAGAAACAGTAGACTGTTGTGTAACACACCGCATGTGACTCAGCAACTGCAGTTTGTCAAACATGGCAGTCCACCAAAACCCTAGCCACTATAGAAAACCCCAGCTACAGAATTATCAGAGAAGCCATAGAGATTGAAAAAAACCCTGAAAGCATGAATAGAAGAGATGATTCCACTGGACTGTCAATTATCTGGAAGCCTGCACTCTCAAAGAAAAACTCCACACCACAAGCCAGGTAAACACCTGGGCACAAACAGACTCCCCCTGATACCTCCAGCTCAAACACACCCCAACCAGGCACCCAGATGAAACCTAGCTTCCTAATAAATGATGGCCATCCATTTACTTGGAGCCAAGCCACACTAAAAGCCTCCAATACAGGAAACACAATGTTGCCAGCCAATCAAGACAAAAAAAGCTACAAAACAGACAGAAGATATTAGAAACACCAATCAAGCAGAACACAGCAAACTCCAAGACCAATAAACACAGACCAAGACTCCCAACCAATCAGGATGAAGAAAAAACCATTCTGGCACAGCAGTAGGCTAGCACCAAATTTAAAACAGAAACAGCTGTGAAAGCCTGACTCACAGACGAACACTATACAGAAGCCTGATGATGGCAGATGAGATTCTGCCGAAATGTTGCTACAACTTTAAAAGCACAACTATAATGATGTGGGAAAATACCTAAACAAAGCTGAATACCGTACATATAAATACCTGCAAAAACTTAAGAAAACACACATATATATAGTTGTAATAAAGCAGTAATAAAAAGCTACCTATTAAAGACCTAAGAATCAAAAAACTGCAAGATTACACTATACCATTCATTTATTCCATGGATCAACTTCACGGATTTTTCCATAATGCCGTCTTTTATAAACAGGATTAATTATTTTAGTGCCTTCGGTTTCCTTTTAGATGCTGCTGTTTATCTTCATTCTGCATATTTTCTATACATAGTTATGTTTTGGACTAATTAAAACACTCAGAGTTCTTTCAGTTAAAAAGAACTTTAGGGAAAAATATTGCTTTTTTGATTCCAGGGGTTCATAAATATACTTCCCTAATTGGACTTGATGAAGTAACAGGCTCTGCTTAAACATGGTAAATGAATGATTTTGTACACTAATGTGCTGAAACATATCTTCAGTGATCCTGGATGAATATCAGTTAAATATTATGAAACTGCCATTAAAAAAATCAGTTTCCAATTGAAACATGCCTATTAGAACATATAAAATGTACCAAAATCAAATAAAGAATAAAAATAAAGCAATAACAAAAGCATCAAGAGGAAATTAAAAACCACAACAGCATTTTAAAAAAGAGGATTTGTTTTCATCGAAAAAGATGACAAAGACCATATCTCGCTGGGGGAAAGACCTTCTAAAGTTGGGAACAACTTATGAGAGGCATAAGGAGATATTCTATAGATCAGTGTTTTTCAACCCTGATAAGTTTAGGATGGATGGTCTTCAACTCCCACAATTCCTCAGCCAGTATTGTTGACTGGGGAAATCTGAGAGTTTAAGTCCACTCATCTTAAAGTTGCTAAGGTGGAGAATTATTTTAGGATATAGGAAAGAAGCAGTGAGAAGAAATGATTAATCAGATACTAGGCTCCCAAGCTGGTTGAAGGGTTTAATAGATTAAAGCTATCTTGAATTAAAAGTAGAAATGAACAGTAAGCTGTAAAATACTGATGTAATACTGTATACTGTGTAAAAGAAATTAAGGAATAAAATATTATTGCCCATTTCCATGAACTAATACCTGGAATACGAATGTACCAAATTGGTCACAGAGAATGCCACACAGTACATGTTGTAGTAATGTAAAAAATAGTTAATTACCAAGGCATAATTAATTGTTTGAAGTTGTCTTTGTCCAAGCAAGGTTATAAGTGAGACACATTTGAAGAGCAGAAACCCCAGCCTCTCTGCCCCTCCTCTGCACCAAAAAACATTGGGGTGCCTGTGAGCAGACATTCCAAGAGGCTCAGAGGAGATTTCTGCCTTGGAAAAGAGTCATAATAAATGGAATAACAGAATTAGAGGGGACCTTGGAAGTCTTCTATCTTGTCCACTCCTGCTCAAGCAGGAGACCTCTGAGTCATTGATGCACACAAGCAGATCGACCCCCCTAGGATAGGTTTGCAATCAGTTTAATTTGTCCTCCATATCAGTGGTAGGATTCAACATTTTTTACTACCAGTTCTGTGGGCATGGCTTGGTGGGCATGGCAGGGGAAGGATACTGTAAAATCTCCACTCCTGGGGGAAGGTCAGTGCAAAATGTTCAAAACTGAACAAGGAGAGATTTAACCTGGAAACGAGAAATTTTCTGACAGAACAATCGACCAATGGAACAGCTTGCCCTCGGAAGTTGTGGGAGCGCCATCAGTTGAGACTTTCAAGAAGAGATTGGACTGCCATTTGTCAGAAATGGTGTAGGGTCTCCTGCTTGGGCGGGGGGGTTGGACTAGATGACCTATAAGGTCCCTTCCAACTCTGATTATCTGTATCTGTAAATCTGTATCTCCCCAACCCCACTAACCTGCTTTCTAGCTCCATTCTCCTGTGCAGGACAACAAAAAAAGACCCAGCTGATCAGCTGGGACTCGGGAGGCAGAGAATAGATGGGGTGAGGCCAGTCAAAGGTGCTATTTGCTGGTTCTCTGAACTACTCAAAATGTCTGCTACCGGTTCTCCAGAACTGGTCAGAACCTGCTGAATACCACCTCTGCTCCATATCCCATTTTCACTGTCATCTCTCAACTGTGTATAGTGCCCTGCCTTTTTGATGGGGAAAACAAAGGGAGACTAAATAAGGCAAGGCAACAAAGACGTGGAAGACGGAGACTTCAAACAGTGGGAGAAGAAAGTAAATTTAAAATATTTTCCCTTTCTCAAACAAAACAATGCAGGATATATATTGCAAGGGGTCCAAATGTGACAGGCAGAATAATTTTGGTTTAAAAATATTGGTCTTTCCAGACAATGGGCTGGATTCAAAGTTTGTCAAAGTTGTGCCCCTAAAATCAGTGAGACCTGTTAGATTCAGTCCTGTTGGTTTCAAGGGGACAAATCTATTTCCAGGTCTATAAAACACAGGCAAGTTGCTGACTTTAGAAAGCAAACAGTACACTTTTAAATTGGTCAGCAGTACTGAAGTACTTAATGGAGTTTCTATAACAAGAGGCAACACACATCCAAAGAGCTATGGTTTCCATACAAAAAATGACAAATAGGCAGCTTTAGTGATTGTTTTGGAAGCTTCCTAGAGACCATTGTGTGGCATGGATGTAGGTCACAAAGGTGGAGGAGGAGGTG